CGAGGACCATATGCAGGCTTGATTTAATATCCATATCCCCATGCAGATGAGTTTGATGGGTTAAGGGTTGTTTCTGTTGCCATCCTTTGATCTGAACACTTTTTCGGATGGGTCGGGCAAAAATTTACTGATTTTTGAGGGATATGTATGACCTCATACAACAGAAATGGCCTTTGTGATATATGTTTGTTCCATAAACAATTATGCCTCTTTAGGGGAACATCGAATAAGACCTCAATGGCTGCATTTCGTGATACATACTCAAAGTTACATGAAATGAGGGCACTTGCTCCATCAGTTAAAATGATAGCTCTCACAGCAACTTCAACACAACACACCCGGAAGATAATCATGGATGTTTTGCTGATGGAAAACCCATATATAGTATATGAAAGCCATAACAAGCCAAATATTGCATACTCTGTATGCTACATGCCAAAAGGTACATCTATTGATAAGTACTTTGCATGGTTATGTGATGAACTGAAATTGTTGGGGATTTCTACCACCCGTACTATCATATACTGCCAGACAATCAAACAATGCAGTCTAGTCTACAGTACATTTAAAGCAATGCTGGGTATTAACTTATTCATTGGAGAATCACATGAAATAGGAATGTTTTGGTTGAGATGATGCATTCCTGCACTCCAGAAGCCAATAAAGCTTGTATTCTAGATGCTTTTCAAAATGATAAATCTGAAATACGTGTTCTGGTAGCAACTATTGCTTTTGGGATGGGCATTAATTGCAAGGGGGTGTACCGAACTATTCATTGTGGCCCATCAAAAAATGTTGAATCATTTATCCAAGAAACTGGCCGGGAAGGAAGAGATGGTGGGCAGAGTGTTTCATTTGTTTTATACCAAGGTTTGATGCTTAATGATGTGGACAAATACATGAAACAATATGTCAAAACGGATTGCTGTAGACGAAGTTATTTACTTTTCAAAACTTTGATCTTTGTTCAAATGTCGAAACCCCTATGCCACAACATTTGTGCTGTGACAATTGTGCATGTGGAACATCTGAATGTGGTCAAATTTCCCTACAGTGATGAGGAAGAAACTGTAACACCTGTTGGGACAAGGACAGTATCAGACAAACAGCAAAACGAAATTTTGTCATTGCTTGAATCTTACCATAAATTAGCATTAAAGGATCTAATACGGAAAAGTGGGCTTATTGGCCTTTCAACTTCCAGTATAAAATTTTTGCTTGGTTTTTCTGAGTTACAAATTAGTCAAGTATTGGAAAACTGCGACAAATTGTTTTCTCTTGATGATGTCGTAAAATATGTGGAAATATGGGACATTAGACATACCCACAAGATTATGGATATTATTAATCGAACATTTGGTGATGGGTGCAATATACAATTGGATGAAACATGTGAAGAGTCAGATGACAGTGATGATGATTACCTTGACATTCCTGAAGAATGGAACATATTATTAAATGATGACTTGCTTGACCTAGCAGTAGACAACCTATCCTCTTTTTGACGTTTCAATTGACAATCCTGATAATTCAACTGACACTGTTAGTAGTCCTAATGCAGCAGTATGTGCAATAGAGCAAATGACAATTTCACCTGTAGAAAACCAGTAAAGTCATTGATACTTTATATAGTACGTAGTGTTTTGATGTTGGACATAGTGTAACTTTCAAGCATTGAATTTTATTTGGGAGGCACCTTCTCATTTTGGTCTACTTTAGTCTACCATTACCATAAGCATTTATATACACTGTACTGTAACTTCTGACAAAACAGTACATTACAGCATGTGTAACCATGTTATTGCCAAAACATATGTGACATATTAACATATTGTGATTTGGTAACAAGCTGTACAAGAACACAACACATGAACATGCTATCTTGACTATCTAGCTTTAATACCAGTAGTATAGGGAATGAGGGTTCTAGACCAATAACTGATATCGTCGCGGTCATCTCTTTTTTATTTTCGTCTTAAATCAACAAGAATCCTGCAGTATTCTCGTCCAATTTTTCTAGACCACTTTCTAAGAACCATCCAATCCCTCGTCTCCAACCAACCTCCATCCAATCTCCAATTCTCTATTTGACAACTGACTTAGTATCCAGTTATAGTCAACTTACTACTTTCCGGGGTTCTGGTTCCCCTAACACTTAGTGACGTTGCTTTCTCTTTCAGCACCACTTTTAGATATTTCTTTACATCTTCTGGTAATGTGTCGTAGTTTTTCCTTAGATGATTCTCATCAGTTACAACTACCCTTAGCGGTGTTAGTTTCTTGAACTTAAACCTCTTCCATGGAATCACTACTTTGTATTTTGGTCTGGGAATATGTTTCTCTTCTTTTGGTCCCAGGTCTTCCCATGGAGGGCCTTCGTAGAGTTCTACTGCTTCCTTGAGTCTGCAGTATTCACTCTGAGTTTCAACCCTCTCTAGTACACAGCTCGGTTCCACTTTTTCTTCAATTACCACCTCAGCCTTTAGATCTCCTATTGAGTGGTGTCCGTACGCGTAACTTGTAACACCATCTTCAAGTAGGTATCTTTTGTCATCAAAACAGCTGAGTGTAATTTTCTTTAGCTGGTAAGTTCCGATTTTATGTTTGATGCTTCTGATTGTGTTCATCTTATGTCTCATCCTACCTTTGGTCTTAATTACATTCTTAAAGTTTTCGTGAGTGAGTTTGTTCCTGATCACGTACTTCTTTACACCTTTAGCTGTCATTCCACCTCCACCACTCTCCTTCACGTAGGAGTACATCTTTGACCTTAACCCTACGAACTCAATCACTGGTACTCCTTCAGCTTCATCCTTAAACTTTCCAATTACCTTCTTATTATAAGCTGAGTAATATGGAGAATCTTTCGGATAATCTGAGTTGTCCCAGCAATCCTTCTCCTCACCGATCCTCTTGAAGTCCTCATACACGTCATCAGTTTTGATCTCATACATTAGACTGTCAGTGTCTGTGAACAGGAGCTTCGACTTGTCGCCGTACTCCTTCTTGATCGTGTTGTAATGGAAGTCGTACATCAGAGTTTTGGACAAGTCTAAGATGCTCATTCCCACGTAGCACGGTTTGTTCAGGGTTAACACTTCCTTCATTCTCTTTACCACGATTAAGCTCTCATTCATAATTCTATGTGACTGGAAGCACGGAGACGCTGTAAGTTTAAGGAGGTCGTTTTCCGACGACACCAATTTTACATCAACTCTCTTCCTCAAATTTTCCATAGTCTTTCCGTAGATGGAATTGTTCATAAGTTTGAAGAAGTTTTTCTCAAACGCATTCTTAGCGACTGATCGTTTTTGAGTATTGAAGTCAATATATTTTTTCAGCCAAGTTGACTGCTTGAAGGAGACTGCTCTGTGAACCTTTGTAAGTTTCATTCCGAGTTCAGTATATAGTTTCAGATTTCTGGCATGTAGAACGTAATTCTTCCTAGGACCTAAGGAGTTCACCAGTTTTCTTACACCTCCAATTGTCAGCTGGAATTTATCAGCAATATCCTTTGCATAGTCTGATAACATTGACGCATCAATTTCCTTACTTTCTGGAGCTAGTGGATAACCATTATGGAGATCGTGAAGTTCTTCCGGATATTCCATATCAACCTCAAGAACCATACCCCTTCCACTATCTCCTAAGTAGTCATCAAGATTTATTTTATCAACTTCCTCAACCCACTCAAACTCACCATTAGGCAGAGGTTGAGACATTGCCCAGCCATATAAATTGTTGGCATCGAGGTACATAAGGAACTTGTTTTCAGCCTCTTCGTCATACGTTTCCATGTACTTATT